TTGGAAAGCTCAATATAAAATGATAGAAAATGTAATTCCTATACAGGGAAGTGATTTTATACCTGAGCTTTAATGTCCTGACATCTAGTAAGATATTTTTGGTCGACTCTTAACCATTCAACCTATGTTGCTACAAACCTTCATTTATACCAAGTTAAGTGCTTGTCATGTTGTGTATTTGTACAATTAAGCTATTCAGGAACCACTGGAGTGCATATTTCTTATCTTGGTCTTTATGCTTAAATGGTACCATTGATGTATCCAGACTTTTAAACGTATATTCGTTGGCGTTATCCGACACCTAACTCAACAAATTTAAGAGATATGCATAAAATGCGGAGGTCCTGGTAATCTTTGCCCATACATGCCCTAGTACGTCGTATGCTTCAGAGAACTATTTCTTTAAATTAAAACAGCTGCTTATTGCATATGTTTTGGTCAGAATGCTTTAGAATTATTTCACATGATTCTAAAAGATGCTCTAAATGTACCTCTAATTTTTTACAGTATGTCGAGAGTCAGTTTCAAGCTTTAACAGCGAATGGTTTACAGTAGGGCACTCAGCACAATTCTTGCGTATGAAGTTTATTAAACAGAGATGGATAGTTGCTAGCAGTGGAATCTATGACGTGCATTTCGTCCCATTAAACACTCGTCAGCTAAATATACTCGAATGGCAGGCTTGGTGAAGCAAGGGCCGCATTCCTGAAATTGGAAAACATATGAAACAAACGAAACATATAGAAACAGCTGTCTGCAAGTCAACATCAAACTCAGAATCTTCATTATGAATATCAAAGCAGTTCTACTGTGAGGAGCTGAAACTTGGGACAATACCACAACCAAAACCAAAACGTACGAGTATTTATAAACAATTGTCTATGCAAAATATTCAATGTTCGTTGACCGGATGCCATCAGCAACAGCCTACTTTGGAAGAAAACAAACCAGCTTACAAGTGAAGAGGAAATAAAGGGAAGACGATGGAAGTGGATAGGACGTACATTTACAGATGGACAGAATATATCGGAACAATACTTTTTCCAAAACATGTAGTTACTGTTACAAAAATATACTCGTAAGATCAACTAGGAACAGAAAATAATTGAGCTTTATGAATAAGCATTAATTACTTGACAAAGATTAAAGAAGATCCTGACAAGCCAAGCACAAACATGACTAGTTCACTAGTTACGAAGTGAATGAAAAGTCTGTAATAATCTTCCAGTGTTTTGTTTTACATGTTCTCGTACGTATTTGTATGCTAATTGGCAAATATCTCTGATTGTACAAGCTTCTTAAAAATAACCGTTTTTACTCTTAGATGTAAAGTTGTTATTTAGACTCCTCCACTCGTAGGATTTCAAAATTTTGGTCGCATCCGGAACTGTTACCAATTATTTTTATTGCAATTCGGCCTTTTAGACGTTTCAAATAGTTTTATGTTTGACGGACCACATTAATTTTGTTTTTACTTGATTTCTTACTCTATCAACTGCTACCTCAAATTGCCCTGACTTGATTATTACTCTTTGAAGCGAAATGGACAGATTAGTGTTCCCTGATCGACGGGGACACGTCTCCGTTATTTTGAATAGAAACAAATGTGGTGTGATTTAGCAATTTATCTACTTAATAGAATTCAAATTGTATGATAATTATTGTTTGAACGCTTATATGTGTGTGGGAAAGCCTCATGCATGCACTCTATGTGGCAACATTACCTTGTTACCTTTTGTACGTAATACTTTCTCTGTCGCCTCCTGTATTTGAGCATATCACGTTCATTTTTTTACTTTTACCTGTTATCATAACATTATACTGCTTATTGAGTCGATTAATAAACGTTTGTTTTAATTAAAATCGCCGGCGAGGCCATAATTTATGGACGAACCAATTACGTATAAGGTAACAGGTCTCGGATTTTGACGCAAAATTCATTCATCCATTCGGATAAACAAAGTTTTGGCATTATAGCTGATGTCAGTTCGTGATGAAAAACCGAAATCTAATTCCTAACCTTAATCATCAACTGTAAATTATAATTATAATTCCTCACACTGGTTTATAACCCTCATTTGGTCGTACTTCTTTGACGGACACTCTCAAGGTCAGTTTGGCTTCGCACAAGTGTTGTGCGTAAATTAGTCTCACCACATTGCCTTTTGGTGGCTGCCATATTAGACTAATGTACTTTGGTTGACCGTGTGAACTGGTTGCTTCTACTCTCTGTTAGTGCCAGAGAAGCGCGAACCCAGCTTGTTTTGGGAATGATTGATGTTTGTATCTGGTGGCTAATTACACTCCTCATATTGTTATTAGTTAGGAGTTGGTCGCCGATCTCTCGAAAAATTGAATGCTATATTTCTATGAAATGACTATTTCAGTCGTACATGATTTTGCGGCTGGTGTGATTACCAGATACAATGCTTCCAGTTGTGCCCACTATGTTCTCCTTGTCTTCGACATGGGTATACAAACTACTCTTAGCCACTCTGAATTTCATTATTACTGATTATCATATCGAATTAACTTGTCTTTTTCTTTAGGTACGATAATGTCCCTTGAATAATAGGAACTCTGTTCTTATTGTAATTATCTGATCATACGAATGAACATGTATCTAACCTCCTACACGAACAGGCTTACAAACGCAATGCGTTCAGTTAAACCTGTTTCCACTCGACCGCAATCAACTGACGTTTTCGTTCAACCTGTCCTACGATGTAACACACACGTGTTTGTACGTCGCTACTCACTTCTACAACCTCTCAAAAAGGTATACGAAGGACCCTTCAAAGTTCTTCAGCGTGAACTTAAGTACTATACAATCGATAAGAACGGAACTAACGATAACATCCACATCGACCTTATCAAAGCACCATATTGAGAAGGAGACCCATCCACGTCGATTTTCCCTCGGTACACTCGAAAGACACGGGTCTCGCAATTGTGATACCTCACCCAATAATCAACATTCCCGACGACGTGTTGGTGGTATCTGACAACCGACTCTAAACAACGCGTTCTGAATGAAGGGTGAGGTTTCCGGAACACCCAAGTGAGTACTTCACTTAGGACAGTATATAACATTTTGTTTCGTCTTGAAATTTACGTACTAATGCGTCAAGAAACAAAAATAAAATATTTTCAATTTACCTGTATACATTTATTATTTTCATTTAAAAAATTCGAAGGTAAAGCTTCTTGTTGTTAGTGTGCTTGCTTGCATGTGCATATTTATATTTTATCAAAAACCAAACATTCTTTCTGCGAAAATCGTTTTTACGCTGTGACATGTTTGCGAAACGCATGTATATAGGTTTTATTTTCCTTTTTGTCTTCACGTACGTACGAGTTTAATTAGACATGCGCTTACATATCCTCTCTTTCTCTTCCCCAGGACGGCTGGAAAAGACGAAAAACCGACGAAGTCTACGATGAGTTGAAATTTTCATCGTACATGTTTCTTCGTCACTATAGTGTACCACATGACCCCTCATAGTAACGAAAGACTACCAAACGCTCCTGAAAACAGTAAGCCATAAAAAGCGTGTTTACCAACGACAGACATGTTGGTTTTAAATTTCCGGCTAACCGTGTCTTAAGGTCATCATTACCCCACTAGCTCCGTAAGTCTTCGACATCTGGTGCTGACCACATCGCTTTGAGTGCACTAACCTAACCGGAGGCGCTCGAACACACATCTACGCCAGAGCACGAGTGGGTACTCTGTGCTCAACTTATTCTACAACCGCTAGCCAGTCTAAACTAGTCGATTCTTGATATATTGATAGCCTGTCAAATATATCTTCGAACCTCCTCACTCCTGTCTTTTGATTTCACTTGGTGGGTACGATTCATAGTAAAAGGTGTTACTGATTAAAGCATTGTCAAACTCCAAATACCTGTGGCATATTCAACTGTGTTCCTTTTCGTAACTTCGGGATGCATCTGAGATTTTCATGCACACCTACAAAATTTAATTAATGCTTTATATAATGAAATCTCTACCACTTCTTACTACTTTTGAAACGATGCCAAAACCTAAGAAAGGGTTCCGAGAAGGATAATTTAAATGATGTCTCAATTAAAAAATAAATCTAAATTCTTTAACTCAAAACAACAAAGTTTCAGACTGTGGAGGACCAGAATATTAGGTAGAACTTCAATTGGGAGTATTGATCTTATAATTCAGTTCTCAAAGACTGGTCCTCATTACTTATCAGTTATTAATTTCACTAAACATATGGAAGTACGCACAAATGTCTATGCAAATGTCCATTAGATTGAGATCTGTAGACTGCGGAGTTCAGATCCTGAAAGAACCGTAATGGGATTCTTGCGAAATGATGTTCAACTCTTATTCCAAAGGTATTGGAGGAAATCATTGTTATTGTTATTATTATCAAGCACTACTATGAACTAATGGTTTATCTTTCGGAGTTCCTAGAGAATTGAAACAAGAAATATACCCATTATGATCAGGAAACATACTATGAAATGTAGACGCAGCCCCTTGGAAACACAAATTTGGTATTTCTTCCCAGTGGTGTTTTTGCGCAAAAATTCAATTTTTTTCTTACAACATGACTCACTGGTGCGGAGATTTATGCCCAAACGTTTTCATGGATCGTTGTTTCATATCAACATATTTTAGTCTGCAGTTGCTTTTACTAACGTAACCGCTGCATGGAACGATTGGACATTGTTTTTGACCTCGGAGAGCATAAGATAATTATGTTGGCGGTAACTTCAGGTGTTTTCTGTTAAGATAGAAACAGCCTTTCATTTACAATTTCGGATTGATTGTTTGGTCCGGTACCATTATTTTGGGCATTTGCAGTTGAGTTGAAACTTGTCCTTTCGTAGAATTTACTTCAACGGCAATCGAGTTGCTCATTACATTTGGATGGTTGGTGGTTCGGTTTTAATGACATGGATATGGTTTGTTCCCATACTATGACAAATCTACTTTCTCAGAAATACTTAAGGCTTACATGAGTTTAAATACAAAATCATCCAGCAGAATCAATGGATGGTCGTTGCCAATTCATCCTTTACAATGTCTATCCTGGTTCGCTACTGCTCTGTTCTCGATAATCTACTTTGGAATACTTGTCCCATCTATCGTCATTCGAGCCAGAATTCCTCTTTTTGTTGTATCCTTTATATACCCGATTGTGACTGATAAGTATCGATCCCCAAATATTGTGGTGTATGACATGGGAAATTTCCTTAGCTCACCTAGTGTTTTGTCCGGGTGTGATTAACTAAGCTAAAAGCCACCTAGCACACTAAGACCGACGAAAAATAAACGAAATGTTTGATTAGTTCTTATAAATGCATTTGTTCTATTTCGTTACTTGTATGGTCATGGGGAGGTCAAAACTAGTTGCAAATGTATGTAATAGCTGGTTGGAGTTACTTCATATAACAATTCAGTCATTACAGCATTCACTGTGCATACGCTGTGTTTAATAAAAAAATATGGCAGATGTTGGTAGACTGAATAGGTTAAAGTATTCCAGCTAAATGAGGTCAAATTTAAAACCTGTCGTCATTTGCTTGTACATGCTGTATGCCAATAGTGGGATATTTCAATAGACGTAAAAGAGCAATAATATAGGGACCCATAGTTGCCTGCATTGATTAGGTTTGGGTTGCGTTCTGACATCCCTGTTCTGTATAAATGTTTACATACAATAGTTTTAGTAATGTTCAGGAAAAAATATCTTAGCTAGTGAAGACACTTTCAAATAGTACTTTAAATGTTATTTTGGTTATTAATGTTACGTTCAGAGACTATTGTTATTTAGGGACCATTTTGTGTCATTTCTATGATCCTAGTACTTCTCCCTTTCTTTAGTGAGGAGGTTTGTCACGATTGTCTCATTGTAATCAACTCTATCCATCCTTAATTCATGCATTAGATCAATGCCGTGTGTATTGCTGCTTATATTGTTCTTAATATAATTGCGGTGAGTATTAATCCAGCTGATACAGCTGTCAGAGAAAAACAAAAATCGCGTGGAAATAAAGTTTCCTCTTTGGATCCTAAACATGTACATGTGATTGAGAACTTTTATTGTAATTTGTGTGAGCTGCCAATGTAAGTATTTCCTGTTCTGTGGTATTTTCGTGTTTATTGACTTGTTATTTTCAAGCCTTTATTTTCCGTAATGGATGATTGGGCCTGTTTGTGTGGTTTCAGTACTCAACTCCCCAAGTTGAGAAGCTGAGTATCTCACCTACTGCCAACTAATGTTTAAGAACGGACTAGTATCGATGCACTTATGTTTTAAACCCTATCTTCCGCCTAAGGATTAAAAGTGGTGGCATTCAGCTGGTTGTATCTCAGATAAAGATGACAAGAGATTATCTGTATCCTTGTCGTTTAACTGTCACCCCCAGTTAGGCTTACAGAATTATATTACATAGAAGACTATCCACTATAACTCACTAGAATAATACTACTCTCTCTGTCGTGGGAAGGGATGTCATTGGGTGTTTTACAATGTCACCATGAGGAAAATTTTCGGGCCACCAAATAAATAGACAACTCACTTTATTTTGTTATTATTTGAACGGCGATTTTTAATAATACAGAATACTTCAGTAACCAGGCTTTCGTATTTCCCATATAATGTTGGTTCTCTTATTTTCGCTAAGTTGTGGACGCAAATGACAAACTTAAGAAATATACGTCAGGCGGACAGTATTGACAAGTCAGATTTTTAGCTACCTTGTAGGACTTAAACTTGACAGCGATAAGTTGCCTCATAAAACGAAAATTAGTGCTGAAAATCAAATTGATGTGGAACGGATATTTTCATAAATATATTAGTGGCACTATGATTAGTTTTCATCACAGAGTAATGTTTTCATTTTTGACTATCTTAGAATGTGTATAGTCTGCATTGCTATCCATGCGCGAAATCTGAAGTTAATTGTCGATTCGATAAATCACTCTTGATCCCTTGAATCTAATCCAAAGGATGAGAGTGAAGAGTCAGTATTTGCATTCTCACTGCACTAAGCTTTTCGTATAGATTGATGTCACTAATCATATAAATTGTCATGTAAGTCACATTGCCTTGCACTCGTTCGTAAATCTTGTGAAATGTATTGTCAAGAAAGGTTAGCAAAATCCAGTTTTTGCGAACACCAACAATTTTTTGCTGGACATAGTAAATTAAAGCTGTTCATCATAATCTTATGTGTTGCCGGTAATAAATTGGAATCATTCAAGCGTGTAATTTCAAATATGCGTGTTGATTTTTTCGCAAGTAGTTCTGAAAATGATATTTGAAACATGATACTGTTGAACACTATGTGCATGTGTACTGATTCATGCATATTAGCCTTTTTTGTCCAAAAGTTCTTCATTTTACACTAAGTAGTTACCGAAAACCTAGCAAAAGTGTTTTATGTAACTAAAACTAAATAAATTGGTAAGATTATTTATATCATATGTGATAAATAGGTTTTATTCCTATTGGTTTAAAAGGCACTTGTTTCCTTTTATTCAGCTCAAGTTCCCGAACAAAACACTGCAAAAGTTGCAACAAATGTATCGCTGATTTTGATCATCATTGTAAATGGCTTAATAATTGTATAGGTAGTCGCAATTATACGTAAGTTTCTACATAAATTTTGTAATATATTTGAGTCATTGATACCAAATTATTCCCTGAATCAAATGTTCTCTACCATTAGTCTTTAATAATCTACATAGTTACCTCCCCTTCTGTCCAAAGGTATACATTTTTTTACGTAGGTGGTCTTCCTAGTTTTCCAGAAATATATATGTAAATCTTTACGTATACCAAATTGTTGTATCTACTTTTGGCTTATGTGTTTATATACTCGTATTTATTTGCCATCCACGTTTTTGAGAATTAGATGGCTGACTTATTGAATGTATTAAAAACAGGCTGAAATTAGTATTTTCGTGGAAAATAATTCATCTGTTTTACATTTGTGTATGCAACTAAACCTTACTCACTTTTTGTGTTAAGTGGTTATTAAAGTCCATAATTCAATGTTTTTCCCTCTATATATGTTTAATTTGAGTATAGATATTTTGCTGGGATAATCACAATGGCTTGTCTGTCACTTAGTATATCCACGAGTCTTTCTCTGTCCTTGGCTGTCGCATATTATTCAGATCGTCCATATGGATATTGGATACAAGCATATCAGGGTGAGTTCTGCTAAAACTTTCATTCCGTGACATTTGGCAGCGTAAGCCACAAAAACAAAAATATTACATTCGAATAGTTCAGTATGAAATTTCCTGGATTTATTGTATTATTTTTCTATTAAAATATCCATATGCAGAATGTGGATTTATTAACCCTAGCATTGCTATCTCAAATGTACATCAGTGATAAGGATTGAGGTCATTTCTATTGATTTGTCATCAGTATAAAATAAAAATACACCAGTGTGTTGTTTGTTCAACTAAATAATTACATGTTTATTTAGAGCGATGGCATCTAATATTTTCCATTTTGTTTTTCTAGTAATTTTCATTGTTTATTTTTTATTTATAACATATAACAGTTATTGACTAAATGCACAACCTTATAAAAATCTATGCATAACATTCATCAATATCGTTCTCATTGTGATTGTTTCAAAAAAATATCATCCGAAATGGATTCGTTGACAAAGCGTAAACTACAAGTATTGTTACTGTGAAATGAAATCTGTTTTTTATTGGAACTATAACTCAAAAGTTGGAAAGATATCGAGTTTCCTTAACACTTCTGAATCAGTAGTAACAGACTTTTTGTATCTTCTTTTTGTCCACACTTCCCGTTTTCACTTCATTTTTCTTTTACCTTTTATAATATTTCTCCCATTTTACTCTCAAGAATTTTCAAGATTTCAATTTGATTTATCCTTCTAACCGTTTAATCCATAAATTGTATCAGAGACCAGTTAAGTTTTGTAAACCGATTCTCCGTGCAGAATACTAGTTATGCCAGCTTGAGTAAAAATTTAAAGCAATTAGTCCCTTTGATGAATTTCGATAGTGTAGTAAGAAGACGAAGATTATCAGAAATATGTGATATATTAGCGCAATACATTTCGAACAATTTGATCACACATATACTTGTTAAAAACATTTATATACAAGAAAATAAAAGGTCAACTAGACTAGAAATGAAGGGAGGGAGGAGATAAAGATAGTAAAGAAACCTGGATAATAAGCTAATATTACCAGGATAGGTTTAAGATGAGAACAAACTGTTTTTAAATACACAGAGGGGGTTTAAGTTTTCGTATGGCTAAGGCTTCAATAAGCCTTAGTATACACCCTTCTACACTTATGTACAACATCAGAAAAGCCGAGTTAGGATAATTCTTATGACCTGTTTCAGCTATGTGTTTGGCAATAAAGGATGATGGATGTTTATCCTCTACTCTTATTGCGTTATTTGATTCTACTTGTTTCTGCAACCATTTAGGCACATGTTCACACACCCTAATTTTGAGATCACGATTACTCCTCCCCATGTATGTGTGACCACACACACATCTAAATTGGTAAACACAGTGGGATGTGGCGCAATCGTTTTTTTTTCTTTAAGGTTTTCGATGAAGCATGAACCTTGTTGTTTCATCGACTGAGATGGTTGGGCCACGTATTACGTATGCCTGAACACCGATTACCACGACGTGCAATGCTAACCGGGGTAGGGGATGGTTGGAAAAAAGTTAGGGGTGGCCAAACCAAAACGTGGCATCAGTGCCTGAAGTCACTAACTTCTAGTCTGAGCCATGTTGGTAGATGCAGACTACTTGGTTGGGGTCCGCGTGACTTTCGTAACCAATGGTTGGAGACTCTTGGTGACATGGCTCAGAATCGATCACAATGGCGTCGGTGTATACACTCCCTGTCTTCCCTTAAACTAAGAGACTAAAATAACTTCATTCTTTCTGTCTACGTACTAATTCTTTCTTCCTATACTATATCCTTATTGCAACCTTTGACCTAACCACTCCTATGAATCCGCTGTTCATCTTGCTGTGCTAATGAGGTATGGCAACCTGGACCGATGCACATATGTGCCTGGTCCTACGTTGTAGCTGACTGACTGACTGATATCTTGTCAATGACTGATGTAAGCCTTTGTTTCAATAAAAGGCTATTTAAATCACCTCGAAATGCTAAGGTGTAGACAGACCTTTTCTCTGCCAAAGCTATAGTAGGTCTCACTGCACCATGAGCTTTCCATCTATTTATGAATTTAAGAGAATAGCCATTTTTCATTAATGTTTTATTTAGCAACATCATCATCAATGGCGTCACTTGTACAAATACGATCAAGCCTGTTAAATAGGCACCTTATTAAACCCCGTTTGTATTGGTTGATCGTTTAAGTGAAATTAATAACAAGAAAAAGACAATGTGTTCATTTAATGTGAATTCCTTGTTCACAACTTAACCTTTGATAAAGACTATTAATATATTATGTGACTACATATCTTTAAACAACATTAAATTACCTGTCCCTTTAAAAATTCCTAAAGATTTACTATTATTATATACGCCCCCAAATGCCCTGGTACGGCCAAGAGTGGGGAGAGTCCGTTCTCCCTCTCGAAATGCTCTCACATGGCCACGCGTACATAGCCTCTGCCAGGGAAGTCCTACTCATTGCCTCCTCGTGGCGGGGGTGTTGTTTACGAAATTGAGAGGACGAAAAGCCAATGTCCAGCGCTTTACTCGGGTTGGTGGATATGGATGATCCACCTAGGAGAGTTGGGAAACCCTGATTCAAAACCAATGGTGCACATGGGCTCCAGTATCTTGAGGGAACAAATGGCGTATGAACCAATCGTTGGTCACCGGCTACCATGGGAATGCATCTCCTCACGATGCTACACTGCCTTGTGGATCAGACCTTCAGGTCGAAGGCTCCGGGTGTGGCCCCCTAAGAAAACCATCTGCTTCGGTCTGGGCACCTGGGCAGTATCACAGCCCTCGCACATATCAAATGAGATTTATGTGGCGCATATGTATTTGGTGCCTCCTTGTACCAATATCTATGTGTTCAAATATATAATAAATTATTATATACTGACAAAGTTCAGTTCACTTTTCAAGGTAAATACTTTCGCTAGATTGATCGGGTTGCTATGGGTAGTCCGTTAGGACCATTGTTAACAGATGTGTTCATGGCACGTGTTGAAAATCTGGCTGAAGACCTAATCGAAAACATGTCGTTTTACCATTGGTTTTTGTCATTCCACTCTATTTGTGTATTTGAGACGATAACCCAATTGGTGTCACCATCTTGAAACATCGACTTCGGTGGCTTGGACATGTTCTACGAATGTCGTCCCAGAGAATTCCACGTCGTGCATTATTTACCGACGCTGGGACTGGTTCGATAAAGCGGAGAGGTGGTCAATGTATGACATGGTGTCGGGGTATCAAAGAAAACTGCGAAGAAATGGCTCCTGTTGGTCCTTCACGACTCCATGGTTGGGGTCCGAGAGATGGTGCAACACTGGCTAGAGACGTTATCAGATATGGCTCAGACTAGAAGCTAGTGGCGATCCTGCTGTAACCTTCTTTTAATTTCTTCATAAGAAGTGGTTGTATCTTCCTTAACTGAAAGATTTCTTCTGATTGTACCTTTCCGTTTCCCCCATTATTATTATTATTATTATTATTATTATTATTATTATTATTATTATTATTGTTATTATTATTATTATTGTTATTATTATTATTATTATTATTATTATTATTATTATTATTATTATTATTATTATTATTATTATTATTATTATTAACACTAACCTGTGATCGTTATTGTTCTTTTTTTCTTATACGCACCTTGCCTTCTTTTTTCTCTCCCATTCTCATTGTTTTGTGTGGCGCATATATATCTGGTTCCCCCTACTGATGGAAATAGCATTCTCGTCGACTGAATTCTCGGGTATTGATCTCCTTCCAGGAGGTCCACTTATCAACTTAGAATACGCAGATGACATAGTCCTGTTTGGTGAAGACGCTGACAAAATGCAGAGTTTTCTGGTAGCACTAAGCAACAATGCCAGAATGTTTGGAATGCGCTTCTCTCCTTCTAAATGCAAGTTGTTGCTTCAGAACTGGTCTGCGTCAACACCTGAACTAAGGATAGGGAGTGAAGTGGTCGAACGCGTCGAAAACTTCACTTATCTTGGAAGTCTGATCAGCCCTAATGGGTTGGTATCGGACGAAATCTCAGCACGGATTCGAAAAGCTCGTTTGGCTTTTGCCAACTTACGTCAAATATGGCGAAGGCGAGATATCCGTCTATCAAAAAAAGGAAAAGTATACTGCGCGGCAGTCCGTTCTGTTTTAATTTACGGCAGCGAAACATGGCCATTAAGAGTAGAAGATACTCGTAAGCTCACTTCATACCTTTCTTTCTACTAACTAATTCTTTCTTCCTGTACTGTATCCTTATATGCAATCTTTCTCCTATATATTACCATCTTTGACCTAACCACTCCTATGAATCCGGTGTTCATCTTGTGTGCTGATGCGGTATGGCAACCTGGACCGATGTATATATGTGCCTGGTCCTACGTTGTAGCTGACTGACTGACTACCCCCTTGTACCAATATTTATGTGTTCAAATAAATAAATAAAATAATAAATAATCATTGGTTTCGGCCTTATGAGATGAAAATGCTAATCGCGGTCATTTTACATAAGTGATTTTTTGTTGCACTGATTTTATAGTTGATTCTAAATAATTTATTCGCTTAATTCCATTAGTTGGGTGTATTCAAATTCATCATGTTCGATTACTTGTCTGCATTTGGTTTATGGAATTTTCTTCATTGGTAAAACATGTTTTTTTGCAGTTTAACTGTTCAGCTTAGTCAAAGTTTAGTCATTAAATCTATCATTGAAGTTATTTCTGTATGATTTGTAGTATCTAAAAAAAGCAAAGCAATCATTGAAATATTTAGTCAATAACAGACTTAAAAGGTATATGCAAGGAGAGAAAACATTCTTATTCCTATTCTTACTATTAATTGTGGTTAGAGTAGGTAAAATTTATTTTATTCACAACGATTCACTACGCGTATAAACTCCCTTAATTGTAGCATACAAAATGTTTTAGTGAAAAGCCACGCCTAATCATCATTGTTTAATGATAGTTAACTGCTAATTTTTATTGGCATACGTAATAATAAGATTATTATTTAATATGACATGTTATGATCATATTGCCTACTTATTATAACGAATATTAATAACAAAGAATTCAATTGCCATACACTTCATAGGCTTTTTCTCTTTTAAACTTCCTGACATTTTTAAATTGTCAATAATTTCCTGAATTTAAAGTGTAATTAGCTCATAAATTTAGTCCGATTATTAATGGGTCAATTATGAATTGTAAAATAAGACAGTTAATTTTTTGCTTTAACATTCTCTTTTCTTATTTATAATATAATTTGCAATGAATGATTATTTTCAACTGATAATGGTCTCATTCATTTTAACAATATTTATGATTACATTGATTCGCCTATGATTATTTTGAAATGAATTCTGAAAACTGATTGTAAATGATATTCGGATCAAACAAATTAATAAGTTTCAAACCATAACAACCTAATATTTGTTGAATATTTAAGTGAAATTTAAATATGTAAATATGTCTTATCGTCTGTGTATATTCTTCAAAGTTTGTGCTAATTCGGCGATACTCTAATTTATGGACGAACCGACCACGTATAAGATATTAGGTCTTGGATTTTGGCGCGAAATTCATTCATCCATTCGGATAAACAGAGTTTTGGCATTATAGCTGATGTCAGTTCGTGATGAAAAACCGAAATCTAATTCCTAACCTTAATCATCAACTGTAAATTATAATTATAATTCCTCACACTGGTTTATAACCCTCATTTGATCCTGGTAATTAAGTGGACACGCTCAAGGTCAGTCTAGCTTCTCTCAAAGGTCGTTCCTAAACTATAGTCTCACCTCTAATTCTTTTTACCGTAGTGTTTGTTTTGTTGTGCCGAAATTTTTAAAAATATAAATGCAGAAATTTATGAATTAAGTAATATAATCTATTGAAGACATATTTATTTTTAAATCAGAAAATAGTCTTATTATTGATAATGTAAAGGATTTTGATAAATTACTGAGGATTTTTGTAAACCGCAAAACTTATCAAAGTTAAAGAAGGTAAAAGAATAAATCACTATTACTTCATTAATTCGAAATTTTTAGCTCTAACTTTGTTAATTTCTGGTTTTTGTGCTGATAGAAGACTGGTAACTGAAACCCAATACACCATGTACTACACTGTTTATGATTGAAAAACTACGTGCATAGACTTTCTGTGAAATTGATTTTATTCTTAAGTATTTTTCACTATTTTAGTCGTAGCACTATGTTTATACCTATTCAGATCAACATAATGCGTCGTCTGTATAATCACATTACTGATTTTAAAAAAATACTTAATTCCATTCCTATGAAACACATTGTAATTGCTAAATATTTTTATGGTTATGATAGCAGATAGAAGACTGACCGATATCTTAATAGCTAAGTTCATTGAATCTTCATTAACTTCCAGATATCATTACATAGTAATAGTTCATACTATTTATGAGTTCTTATAATGTTTATTTTGTCCTATATATTGCATAAAAGTATGTTATTATTACTGAGTAGAATGGACCTTTTGTTGACCAGTTATACTGTATTTCACCCTAAATCCACCTGTGCGCTTCATGTCAATGTTTTGGTTTTGGTAACCAATATGCACTGTGCCAAATTTCACAAACTGTACAGTAACGAACATTATAATTCTCCATTGTAACAGTTAAACAAGTATGAAATATGATTACATCATTCATATGAAGATAAAATGTTGACCTAGGTCACCTATTTAGTAAATACAAGTGATGTGTATCAATTGTCCGTTAAACATTGTCAACGATCGAATGTATGATATAATTATCCATACATATTATGATATTAATACTCTTACACCTGTATATATAATTGGTCAATTATTTAATCGTGCTTGTTAAATGTTGGTATTTATTATTTCTGCCAAACACAGTTTTCCGTTTTCCTTATTCATAAATGCTTCAACCCAACATCATGTTTGAACAATAAAATAAAAATTTCTTAAGAAATCATTAAACCTACAAGCTTGGTATCAGTGCTTGAATTCACCAACTTCTCGTCTGAGCCATGTTGGTAGATACAAACTACTTGGGTGGGGTCCGCATGACTATCGTAACCAATGGTTGAAGACTCTGGGTGACGACTACGAATTGATCACAATGGCCTAGGTGTATACACTCTCTGTCTTCCTTCGAACTAAGAGATTAAAATCGCTTCATACCTTTCTTTCTACGAACCAATTTTTTCTTCTTGTACTATATCTCTATATGCAATCTTTCTCTTATATATTACCACCACTGAATTAACTACTATGAATCCGGTGTTCATCTTGTTGTGCTAATGAGGTATGGCAACTTGGACCGATGCACATATATGCCTGGTCTTACGTTGTAACTGACTGACAAGCGTAAACTTTGTAGTTATTGTTAAATTTAATTCATCACACCTATTTGTGCTAGGTTGTATTAACACAACTTCCATTCAAAATAAATAAATATATATACCTATGCTGAATATTTATTATTTGTTGCTTGAGTCAACGCATTTTTATGTATTGGCAAAATAAACCCTTAAATTACCTCACTAGTTAAACATGCCAAATGTTGGTAGTGTCATAGTGAGTTTATATTGAGCTCCCCTATTAGTTGTATTTTTTGTGGGGGTATGAACTGAAACATTATTAGTCCAGATTTTTGTCTTTATAAAGGCATTAGACTAATATTCACCAACATGGACATCATGTTGGATAATGTGTTGTTTACAGTGTGGTACACGCATAAAACAAGTTTAAATTTCCAAATTCATTTTTCGTATATCAAATGCCGGATCAACGTAATGGATTATCTGGGATAGCATTTGATGTCATCGTCATTTTACTCCAACTGTAAAGTGCGTTGGTACACAGGGTTGCATTAAGTGTAATCTATGGTTTTAAAGCCTGGCCTTTCTTATCTAAAAATGTTGGGTTATTCTGTTCATTTAATTGTTGCTGTCTTTTTATGATTAGTCGCATTTAGTGTCGATACCAAATGTGTTATCCTAAGTTTCAGCAATGTGTTTGGTAACCAACCTTTGAAATCGTCTTCAGACACTAGCCTCTGAGGACCTGGTATGTTTTACGTATTTTGTGATGTCATTCTAGGGTGAACGAATCTTGATCAAGTTATCGTCATGATTCCCTCTGAGGAGATCAGAAAAATTACTCAACTCAGTAGTTTAAAGGGAAACCTAAAATCAAAATCGATAACTATTGTTTAGTGTTTTGCGTCTTTATTTTACATAGATAGTAATATATTTTGATCGAAGTAATATCTACTTCTATTCTGTTTTTATTTATCCTGGTTTCCTTAAATATTGTTATGATTAGATTACTTTTCCCCTTCCACAAAAATATCAGCTGTTGTTTTGTACCTCATTCTATCTAATTATTACTTTTGTGTCAAGAAGAAATTATTAGAAATATATGTTCAGTTATTGAATTGTTTATCATACATTTTTCGTTATTGCTTTTTTTGCTTATCAGATTACTGGCAAACATTCACCAATGGGACCATTGAACATCTAGATTATTTAATAAACAATGGTAAGTGCTGTCTTTGGTATATGTTCCTCTTAACTATGATATTTCTTAAAAAGCTCGGTCTTCTAACCGCATCTTCTATTTTTTAAAATGTTATTATTTCAAATACAAAATCTTGACTGTTAACATATGTTACACATGTTTTCAATATTCAATAAATTATCTGAAAGTTCTGTATTCATTGGACCCTCTGATTATGGTTTGGAATAACGCAACTCACCATTCAAACGATTTATAACATCTGATCGTCCTTTAACTATTTTAGCAGATATACTCGTGTTATCACTATATGAACAAGTATTTTTCAGTTCTAGCAGTTAACTACCGAGTGTGTTCACATTAGGCGGTCAAAGATATTTAACCGTTTGTTAATGACCTAATTTCTAATTTATGAAATTCATCAACAAAAGAACTTTGCAGTATCTAAATTTACCTGTTCCAAAGGGTCCAAATATAAGCTACCACACTGATGTGGATCGTGCTAAGTAGGACTGACACACATCTATAACAGTTCCCAGGTTGGTTATATATATTATATAGCGAGCATGTAGTTCAGTAGATCACTCTATCATTATAACTGTGAAATGCAGCTTATGAAAGTGGGAAACATATATAGGTTGCGATTATTTCTGTTAGCACCCATCAAGTTTTTGCCTCATTAAGTGTAATTTTAATACCGTAACTCTTTGGCGTCCAAGTTGAAAACAAAAAATCAATTACTTGTGAGTTTAGGCTTAGTACCAGCATGTAGGTAATACTAGTTCTTGCACGATATCTCCACTATTTAGCATGCCTTTTCAGTGGTCGTTAAACATTCAAAGTCGGTTTGAATATCTGGAGAGATCTTATCTGTCAGATAGTCGTCCCTACAATTGTTTTTATATGCCAACAATCAAACTTATTTGTAGTTTATATGTTTATGTATTTGAAAAGCATGTTACTCCTTTTAGAGGGATAACCTGACAAACATATTGAGTTGAGAAAATGTGCTGAATAAGATATCTTCAATCCAATGCATTTATCGTTAATGGTTTGCTTAATCATTGTCAAAACAATTACGAAGTAAATAATCATCCTATGAGATTGAGTTTTTCTTGTTTACTTCATATAGTTATTCATTAAAAATCGGAGCATTTATATTAAAATAAAGCTTTCCAAATATTTTTTCCGCAGCCTTTGTACTTAATATCTGCTAATTGTCAGGCTGATTGACTAACCTATTTAAAAATACTTTGTACTTGACTGTTATCGTGATTTATAACCACTTGGCTTTTTTTAAAGTAGGGATTCACTACATCTGTACTAAGTTTTAGCGGACCTTTCAAATAAACATTTTTGTCATTGTTTTGAATCACCCTCGGTTTTTATCCCATCATACATATAAATTATGTGTTTATTTCATGTATATATTTTTTCGTAACTGGTTACTGACTTCTTATTTCAACATTGGAATTCATAGATGGAGTTTTCCGCATATTCGGTTTAAATTCATCTGGATTGGTTTTCTTTATAATCGCTATTGTTGGATGTTTATTTACTTTTTGCATTGATGCCTTTTTGGTACATCTAATCATCTTTCATATATACTTGTGTAAGTTTATAATGTGTTAAGTATTCTCGTTCTGTTTCCGTAGGATTTGTCAAGGATGTAGCACTCATTTCTCTCGTTTTTTCTTACTCTTAGCTCTCCACCTCAGAGGTTTCTGGCTATTGTATACTGACCCTGACATTTGAATATTGTCCTTTGTTCTGATCTTGCGTCCTATTGACTGTAATTGTTAAATTATCTGTTCCTGGAATTTCAGCTATTAGAAGAAGGTTAAGTAGACCGTGCCAAGAAGCCAACAGCAGTGTACGGATTGTAAACAAACTAAGGACATCGAAACATATCAATTTGACGTTGTTTACGGATAACTGTATATCGTAGACTGTTGGGTGAAAACAACTGTAATTTTCATGCACGTATTTCGTGTCTATGGTGTTACATGGTTGTCGTTTTGAAGGAGCTCAGCACTAATGACTTTAGTTAGTCAATCAGTCATACTCAACGTAGATCCTGGCACTTGTGTACATTTGTTCAAGTTGTTAGACTTCATTAGCACAACAAGATGAAATTGTCAGGACAAATCTCAGAGTAGTAGAGGCAATAACAGTATTAGTGGTAATCGAAAAGACTATGCATCCAAGATACGAATCGACTAAATTTAAATTAGTAAAATAGATTTCAAAATTTTACGGGAAAGACAAGGAGTGAATGCAACTGCAATATTATGTACGATTCCGAGTCATGTCATTCATGTCATTACGATAATCATGCGATCCACAATTATGTAGTTGGTATCCAGCTACAAGGATCTGTGTCCAAGAAACAGTATATTTGTGTGTTGGTTTGGCTACCTATAGCTTTCTTCCAACCTATTCCTACAATAGCCGTCATCGCAGGTCGAGGTAGTTGGTGTATGGGTCCACGTAATACAGGATTTAGCCATCTCAGTCAATAAAGATTCACTACCTCGTCAATCACATGGCACAAGTCCATGAAGTTACTGACAAGAGAACTGAGCCATGTTAGTAGGTGTAGACTACCTGGTTGGGGATTGCGAGATGATAACAACCGATGGTTAGAGACCCTGAATGACATGGCTCAAAATCGTTTGCAATGGCGCAGGTGCATCCACTTGTTGTGTTCTCCCAAATTCTAATCTCCTGAATCCACTTTGTCTTTTTTTTCTCTTTCTAAATTTATTTTACTAGATTATACTCTTTAAATAGCATATTCAAACCCTAATCTTTCTGATTACTGCTTATACTCTTAGCGCCTCTACCACTACGGGATTTGAATCGACCACTGCATCTCTGTCCTAATGTGGTATGACAACTGGAACTGATGTACGTACGTACGAAGTTCTACGTTGTTACTGACTGACCTCGTCAATGGATTTGTAATCATTACGTGGTACTCTATGTCAGACCTCAAAATCGCTAACTCGATGGTCCCAAAATATCCGAGCAATGCTTTGACGGCATCTATGATCGGATACTCGTTACGTATAAATATTTTCTATTTTTAAAGTCCATTTTGCACAGCTGTATGGTAGAACGGAGGAGATTGTATCCATGATCAATAACAACCACTAGTAATCGACCTAAAAGTTGCTCATACCGAAATGGAAGATTTTGTGCCGTTGATGTGCAACTTTGAAGTAACTAATCAATTGAACATCAAATTAATTATTTTTTAGGTATCAATGCCAAGGTTAGACTTGATAGTTTTAAATAGAATGAGTATTGAGTAAAAAGTCAATAAATATATTTTCGTTATATCCCAACGAGTAGAAAGATTATATTTCTGGCGTTTCGTGACTTAATGTAAGCCACTTATGTTAAATAAGCAACTAAAGTTAACAGTGCAAATTCTCTTATGAATCCTTTTCTGTTAAAAAAGTTAACGGCGAAATCTTATTTCAGCAGTGTACAGTGGAGCACTACATGTTCTTGTTAGACACTTAATTTTATGCATTAAATTACTTTCTCAACAACTGTTATCAACAAGAGAAAAATAAACTTGAATCATATCATTGTTGTCCTTAGATTTTCATAAATGATTTGTGCTCACTGTCGCTCGCGCTTTTTTGATACTTTTAGAATATATGCCAAAAATAGTCCTGAAATTGTGGTTAAAAATAAAGTTTCTTAGGCTGGTTTGATTGCTATCAGAATAAACAGTTGAAACCTATCTGACGAACAAAACTAATAAAACGTACTACCATAGTGCACTAAACATATAATATTCCACTGTTCAAATCGAAGTAAATGAAGTGATTTCCCGAAGTTGTGTTTGGGTAGTTGAGAGTTGAACTCTAAACCATCAATCCGTGGTTTACATCATTCATTTTCAGTTCAATAATGACATGTGTAATGAATATTGTTTTAAACCTCATTAATTACCATATTTTTCATTTATTTCAGATATAAAAGGTATGACAACATATGAATTTATAGTTTTACAACGTCAAAAATCTAATCCATCTACTGAAAATCAAACATCTAATAATGTGGATCAAAGTAAAAAGAAAAATCTATTCTGTAGTATTGAATATATTGATTTATGTGAAAAAGAAAATATTGCTGAAATGTCATCACAGAGTCAATCAAATGGACCATTTACTACAAGTAGTAAAGTTGTTTTATCTTTACCATCCACTGGTAAATCATCCGATCAACCAATTGTAACAGGTGATTTAGCCAATAATAGCAGTAGTATTTGCTCAGATAGACCACAAACTATCTCTAATAGTAAAATATTTCCTGATGGAAAAGAATGTCTGCCTTCAATTTCAACGTCTAATTTCATATCAGAAAGTACACAACGAGATAATCCGGTATATTTATCGTCCCTAGGCAAAGTGAGTATATATTTAACTTTTTTGACTTATACGTAACATTGTTTGTAATTTATTTGCTTTTATTTGACGTTTGAGTTGTATAAGGTAAATTTCAACAAATGTAGCCATCTATTTTTACGTTTAAACATAGTCATTAAATTAATATTCGATCAGTATTTTAGTTTTTTTCCGTGTTATTCAAATAAATCAGTTTTGTTTATCAACTAAATAATCATGCAGAAAAATTCTATTCAAGTATTATACGATCTATTTAATGGTGCTGTTATAGTGGAGGTTTACTTTTTAGTGATATTGTATCGTGTGATTTGGTCCTTTCAGTCTGCTCACTTACGTACGTCTGTTATTCCTTGTGGAACAGAGGCCACCGACCGGAATTCCCCAACATACTCTGTCCTAGGCTCTCTTTTCCAGTTGTTGCTAAGTGCTCTTCATTCTTTTGATGCTTGTTTTCAATTCCCTTCTCAGTGTGTTCTTGGGTCTCCCTCTTTTCCTTTGGCTTTGATGATCCCAAGTCAAGACTTGTTTCGTGATGCAGTTTGACGACTTCCCTGAAGTGTGTCTTGTCGTATCTTTTTTCATCAACTGAGGTCTGGTTTGTTCTCTGCCAAAGTAGGTTGTTGTTGTTGGTGTCCGGCCAACGAATTTGTAGTGGCTTGCGTAAATAACTGTTTATAAATACTTTTACTTTTGGATGATGGTTGTAGTAGTTCTCTAAGTTTCAGCTCCGCACAGTAGAATTGTATTGACGTTCGTATTGAAGATTCCGAGTTTGGTGTTGGCTTGCAGACAGTTGTTTTGAGTTCCATATGTTCTCCAACTGTAGGTTTGTGGCCTTTGCTTTGCCGATCCTTGTCTTTACCAGTGACATAAGATCTTCCTTGTTTACCGATGATGCTGACCAAGTTCGTGAAAGTTTCCACCTCTTCTAGAGTTGCTACATCAAGTGTGATTTGGTTAGTGCTCACTATGTTGTATTTCAGGATCTTACTTTTTTCCTTGTGTATGTTGAGGCCTACTGTTTCAGAGGCTGTTGCTACACTACCTGTCGTCACCTGCATCTATATGAGTTAGAAGAGCTAGATCATTTTCAAAGTCCAAATCGTCTTGTTGCATGCATGCTGTCCATTGTATCCCGTGCTTCCCTAACGATGTTGAGGCTTTCATAAGCCGAAAGAGGAAAGGCGAGAGTAAGCAACGTTGTCTAACGCCGGTCTTTACGTGGAACATATCTGTAAGCTACTCTTCATGGAGGAATTTACGGTGTACCCGTCATAAGAATTCCGTATGATGTTGACGATCTTCCCACGTACTCCATGTTTTGAGAGGAATTTCCTGTAGGTTTTTCTCTGCACGCATTTAAATGCTTTCTCATAGTTAAGGGAGTTCATTTGTAGTGGCGAATTCCATTCAGTTAATTGCTTAACAATGATACGTGATGTCAGGATATGGTCGGTATATGATCGATTCTTACGAAAGCCAACCTTATCGTCTAGAAGTTGGGCGTTTACTAAATCTTTCGTTCAGTTTTGAAAAATGTCTATGCTACTGACAGTAGTGCGTGCCTCTGTGGTCGTCACGCTTGCTAAGGTCACGTTTCTTTGATATCTTGATAAGGTATCCCTCTATCCAGTCTATTGGCATTTGTTTTTCTGCCCATAATCTTCTTAGGTGGATGTGCAACGTCCTTGCAGGTACTTCTGTTTTGAATTCAGTGCTTCAGCTTGTATTCTGTCTGGTGCTGCTGCTTTCTCACTCTTAGCTTGTCCGATGGGGACGGTCAAGATTATTCTTGTACGTAAGGAATCTACTATATATATATCAGATACGACTTTGCGATAGAAGAATTATCCGACTAGAAAATAACAATTGTCATGCTAAATATGAATTTAAAATTGTGCTCTCGTTTATCGCAGCAAGAAACAACTAACCCTTATTTACAAAAGTCATATATGACATCCTTGTTATATGCGTTACTTAATGTTAACGATCTTAATATTCTCAGCCTAATTAGTATTTGGGTTTGTGTTTGTCGTTACAGTTTTCGGATCGTATTACAGCAATCCCTAAAGCGTACTATATTGATAATATTGATATGATGTTTTTCACTTGACCTAAAATTCACTTCATATATTCCTCCTTTAGACGTATTCATCGTATGTAGCCCCTTTTTCTTTTCATATATCCAACGTTAGATTACTAGATGATCTAAGTTTCATGTGAGCTTTGGTTGTAGCTATTCGTTAGTTTTCGAAAGGAATAATCTAAAATCATGATGTACTGTACTTCTGTTTGTTTCTAGCTTGAGATTCCTCACCTTTATCCTTGATACGAAATTCAAATGTCTCATTTTACAAAAAAATACAAATCACCTATCAATTATACAAAAATATTTTCGAAATTAACTTGAGAAATTGTTTTTTTTTTCATTGTGAATAGGTTATCTATTTTATGCTATACGAAGACTAATCGATTATATATATATATGCACATATGTACTTTTTCACTAGAATAAACGTCGATTTATATTCTCATTTATGTAATAACGATTATTATTATTATTTTATCAATGGGGAAAATGGGTGGAGTTTGCTCTATCATATTAGGGCTAGAATATCAATAATTCAATGTAACAGTTATCGTTAACTGCCTTTTTTTCTAAAAAAAAATAGTAGAGAAATAGCTATTTAGATAAAAGAAGGTAGTTTTATTATATATTTCATTGTTTTTGTAAGTCCTTTTTTCTCGTCTAATTTTTGCGTGAGAACGTCAATTGATGTTACTTCTTTTTTTTTTTCTCTTTCCATGTTTGACTAATTTTGTTGTAATATTATCTAACTATGTAAATTTTGCATTGTATAAAATAAAAAAAATTTATTTCTGTTTTGTTATGATTTATACTTTAGAATTCTGATTTACCTCTTGATGTAAATAAACGTGATCTAACACGGTAAGTTCATATGAGTAGTTCTGTAGTATTACATTACTGAACTTCAAAAACAAAACACTTTATTTTAAAGCAATTATTCCCTTGTATAAATTTTCTTTATGGGACGATCAAAAAATGGAATTGATGTTAACAAATTTTTTCATCGATAATTAAATGTTTATTGTATCATAGCGTTAACATCAACACAGCTTTCAAAACGTATAGTAATTGTCCAGGGCGCATTCTGAAATTTAGAAAAAGAAGCCTTAACTATCAGAATACTCAGACTTCCTTTATGTGTATAGAAAGAATTAATTATAACCTTAAACCTACCTTGATAATCATCCATTTCATAGCCTAGGGTGACCGCAGTTTCCTATTATTTCCATTTTATATTAATTTTTTTCTTTATTTTCAGCTATCACTACGTTTATTTTAACTTTTATTTAATTGACCTTTATTCGTTTTTGTAAATGTCTTGACAAGTATACATATAACCGGATTATTCGAAATTTATACTTCGAATAAATCACTTTTTTTTCGGATCAATTCCATCTCGTTACTCTAACAAAAATTTATTTTCAACTGTTTTCTTAGTGTCTATCCAATAGACAAAATATACTATAAGAGACAATATATGTTTATATTTCATAAACTTTATCATCAGTGAATGACAATAAAATTATTTTAATAAGTGAAATTACTGAAGATGGTTGTGTATTTAAATAGGTTACTTATTGTTAATGCAAGAATAAATCTGCAACTAACTGATCTTATAACATGTCACGCCAAATTTCTAACCGTAGATACCGTTTATCTAGAGTGCTCTAAACAAAAGTCTGCATCAATTTATATGGTTTAATCTAATGGTTAATGGTTTCATGGATAGACTTCATAGTAACTCTTAGCTCTTTCCCGGTCTGCTCCTACGTCAGCTGTCACTGAGCATCGGGGTAAGTGGGGATTAGGCATATCTTTTATATATATATATATCCCAACTGCCTAAGTCAGTGGAGGTTTGTAGCCTCACCGATCCGACTTACTATATCTACTTCGTACTGCGCAATTACATAATTACTCACAGTAGTCAATAACAATTTAGTGATTGGTTTTAATATGGTTTTAGAGTCAAATTATTTAAACCTTAAGCCTTTTTATCGATAAATGCTTCCTATAACCGAAAGGCATAAAATAATTTAATAATATTGGAATGAATTTCGTGTTTAGAATATTTCAGTGAACCCATATTTAAATGATGTATTCATCTATTCATCTTTCTAAATATTGTTTGGTATTTTGATGGTGACAAAATCGCATTTATTCATAATGTCATAATTTTACTTGGATAAACTTGATTTTCCGTGCTTGCCTCAAATCTTTAATCGTCCATTAGTCCTCATTAACATAAAATCAGGCACATATGTGCATCTGTTCAAACCACCACACCATTTCGGTACAGAGCGATAAAGTTATCAAAAAAATTTCCAGATTATTAGAAGTAGTAATGGTATCGGTAGTAGTAGTTGCAATAGTAGAGAAGATTAGGGTGTAGACCCTATGATTCGAGAAGTTAGGATAAACTCACGGAGAAAAATGTATAAGATAATTTCAAAACGCAAGATCTAAGGAAAGTCAAAGAATGTGCTGATGATAAATAGTTGATCAAATTACTTCATTTTTTTAGATTATTATCATTTAGTAACAGTTCAATGAAATATTTAATTTGGGTTTTTTCGTGGTGATTTTTAACTCAGCTTTTATAACATGTCGAAGAAAATTTTCATTAATAACTGCAGTTACTTATTACCTGAAGATAATTCTTTGCTTTTTAACACAGGGTAGATAGTGATGTTTCACAAGATTTGAGTTATTATAACACTAGTGGTGATGAGATTTCCAGCACAAGAGCAATTACAGACAAAATTGAGTTGAAGTCAATCAGCCCAAGTGATGAACTTGTTTCATCTGAACGAATCACCGACTCTACTATTACACAATCTAATAGTACAGAATCTACAAATACACTTACAAAAGAGGATGATAGTTCAGTGATACCTAAGGTAAAATTATTTCTGTACATGTTTATTTCAAAGTATGTTTTTCCCGGTTTTCCATGAAGTACTTATCGTAAATATTTTAATTCAATGCAGTGTATGTTATGTGTGTACGTTTTTTTATGACATTTCGCTTTCTACTATCATCCACTTTGAATTTCGATGCTGATGTCATACAGATAAGCTAAGATATTGACAAAATATAGTTTCCTGTTACCTTTATCAAGATGGGCTAATGTTTAGTAATCTTTAACATTATTTTATATCTATGCATAGATGATTGGGGTATACAATCCGTAAACTTGCTAATTAATTAGACCATGAAAAGTTTATCATTAGTGAATCATTATCATGAAAGAGAGAACTGATTATGTATTGTGGAATGTAAACCGTAACTTTGTTTACTTACTAATTACTAGATTTCTAAGGTTGTACTTTTAAAAGGTATTTTCGCATAACATCACACGTAAACTGTACTTCATGGCCGAGAGTATAAACCCGGAATGTTATTGTATGATCCAGATGGTGTATGATATTACAGTAGTAACGACATTATTGATTATGTTTACTGAGAACAGATTGTAGCTGATTATATGAAGTATTTGAAGAAAGTAGCGGAAATTTCCAATCTATTCACTATATAAACTTATCTCAGTTTTCCCACATATTCGTGCACCAGCCATTCTCTATCGGTTTCGTTTCTCTCAATTTTTATGAAGGTTAAATATTATACATAAATTTTCTTAAATCTTTGTATGCTTCATGAATTTCTTCTTTTTCACAGGTACCTCCAGTATTACGAAAAACATAGTGTTATATTCGTATATATATATATATATATATAAAGTTTATGTTATCTACCATTTCGGCTGGAGACAAGATAATGTCGCATTGTGAAAAGGACTCATTGCCAAACCTTACTTGTAAACCCGCGTTGCAAATTAATTTTTCTTTTTACTAATATAATCTTGATTTCTATTGACTATCAGTTGTGATATTTCTTATTTATCAGTTGGTATTTTATTACTATTACTATTCCGATCTATTCAGTTCTAATTCGTTATTTAATTTCATTTTGTAACTGAATAATAGTGTTTCTATACTTTTCTTTTTTTTTGTTAAAATCCCCATTTCTCAATGTGTATATTTTGTGTACAAACTACTCGTAAATATTATCGCTAGTAAGAACAGTCATTTTCTCTTTGTCATGCTATTTTTATGCATGCATTAGTTAGACATTTCGCTCTTCGATGTAATCAGTGTGGATATTTTTAGGAAAATGTAAATTGAAAGACTGCTTAAAAGTGAATTCAAGTTAGATTTTATTCTAAAAGTAAATTACTTGAAATTCCTTTTCATTGTTGTTATTGTTGGCTTTTTTAAACTCGACTAACCGCCTCCCATAATTTAGCGTATACTCTTACATGTTCAGTTTATCAAAATCTTACTTTTCCATCGATCATTTAGTTCTTGTCGTTACTATTTCAAGAGTTCGTCATTACGTATGTATTTACATAATGAAATATAATGTCTTCTCAACTTAGATATTTTGCTTATTTATAAGTTGAGTAGTATTACTCTGTCCGTCTGTTGTTTAAAGTCATTGTATCAACTGGTTCCCTAAAGATTCAAGATCTGACAGAAGAATAATCGCTTTTATAACTGCTAACGTGTAAATATCATCTCTATTATTCTGTGGAGAATTTCCTCATTAAGGAGAGATTACATGTACATACATTACTCGATCGTTCTAATTTTTGCACTGAATATTCAATACTATATTCAAATAAGGTTTGATTTGCCAAAGTAAATCTACCCTTGTTGTCTTTATTATTTTTTTAGAAAATAATTAATGATGACGTTATTCCTAAGTTTTATTAATAACGTATATATCAAGTAGTGGATTATTCTAATAATCATTGAAAATACAAGTTAAATGAAGAGATTTTTGTTTTTAATTACTTACAATGATCAACACATTCTTTGCATTACCCTCAAAAGTTATCAAGTTTAAAGATAAATACCATATATATTACTGATTACCTGCATCTGTATTAGGAATTTGACAGTTCATTTGCTTTTAACACTAAACACTTGGTGTTAAGGATTGCACATAAAGGTGAAATGATAATAGACTTCCAAAATGTAAATTTAAATTAATATCAATCCTATTATAGATCTGTTTTATTGAAAAAAAGTATTTACCTTTCCTCGACGGATTGATCAATAAATATTACTTGCAATACAACAAGACTAATTATTTTAGATCATGGTCCTTGCGTTTCTAAAGAAAATATAGACGAAATGGAATATGTACTCATATTATATTGAGAATTGTACTTATTGAAATCCGTCTTTTGTATCGCAACAGTAGTCCCCTGTGAGCAATTACATGTGATTGATTATATTTTAAAAGTACGTAAACCAAATGCTTATTAAATTATGTATAAACGCTGATCGATTAACTTTTTCTCACATATCCAATTGTACATAATACCATTATCTAATTGATTCATTTTCCTCAGTAATATGAAACACTAATAAGATGTTTACTATTTATGTAGGGGTTTGTGTTGATTATTAATGTTTCTTAGATTACATCGTTAACTAGTATTTAGACAACAACTAAAAACCAGGAGACCCTGGACAGTTGTCTCATCCTGGTGTAGGACTCAGAGGTGCATATCCACGGTCAGGGATGTTAACTATAATGAATGTTTTTGTTTGAGTTGAATTCTCATTCTAGTCAATGGGTTTTGTTCAGCTGTGACAAATGTTTATCAGCAGTTACACTTTATAAATTATGTGGTGTTATTTTATTTTAAAAAAACTAGGAGGTAGTCTATTTTTATTGGTTTTTACTAACCGTACTTGGTGGTAATGGTTTCCACTTTGAAGTTCTAGAAATACAGTGATTTTATTGTATCCAATTTTCAGAAAACAAAGGCAGTATTAGGTTATTGGAATCAACATAATAACTTTTACTAATGCCACTCGGATTAAAAATAGACTATAGTAAAGTCCATATAACACTAATTAAATTGTAGTCAATTAATACCAATGAAAATATATTGCAAAACACTATTTTCATTTACTAAATATACTGTACAGCAAAATAATATTTGTTGAATTATGTTTTAGTCTTTACGTATTTTTGTTGTCAAATAATTTTATCAATGAAAAGTCATGGCGAGAAAAGGCATTAACTCTTAGATCTTCATATATGACTAGTCTTTCTTAACCCACTGGGTCTCATTATATTCAGTTATTGAAGCGCTTGACTGCTAACCAGTGGATAATACATTATGACCCACCACCTATATAGGTTCGGATATCGTTTGTATCTATAATTATCCGTAGGTCAAACTAAGTGCACATAAATGTACTTCGCCAAAGCACTTGCATAAATAATAGTCTAAGCTGCGTAGTATTTTATTCGTCTAGTTAGTCAATAGTTCTTTATTCTGAAATTTTGTTAATGAAGTTGGAAAATTGGTTCCATGACGTATAGGGGTACGTCAGTCACTTTAACATTTAACGCATTTATATACGTGTAATTGAGTAAATTAAGTTGTTGTGGTTAGCTAATTGATTATTTTGGTTTACCTTTTCAATTTTTCAACCAATAGATAAACATGGTTCTCTGCAATGGTTAAGATAACAACTACGTTAGTCAAATAATGTTTGCATACTGAAACTTTAATAAAGAATTATAAAGGAGAATACTAGAATATTTCTCGTATGGATCTTCTTTTGTGTACCATATATATTACCAAAATGGGATCAGTGGTATAGGTTGTACTCAACAATTTAGACAACTTTGATCATTAGACTGATGTGTATTTTTGTGAGGACACATTTCTTTAGCTGGATTGGTTTACATCAGTATTTTACCAAAAGTAATATTCATCGTGGACAATCTGACGGAGTTGTCAACCAACATCTTGATGTGAGTAAAGGAATATATATAAGAATAGGACTTTCACTTCGTTAGTGCTACTAGTAATCAAAAACCCTTCGTTTAGAGATTCTTGAATCTGAGCAACTGAATAACAGGAAAAATGTGCATTGTCTGGTTTGAGACAACACTTTTCTATTATTTTCGTGCACACAATGGGGGTCTATGTAAATTGGAGTGCTCGTGTATTAGTACACGTCATTTTTAGAAGTGCACAGAAAAATACGATCATTCTATCAAGTTTCTATATATGTCTCAGTGATATTCCGATATAACTTATCATTTAATAATAAAACATTAGATGTGAGAATCACAGAATGATTTGGACACTTAAAACGGTCACTGAAATAACACTGTATCCTAATAAAACTAACATCATCCTCAATATGATCTAGTTTCTGGAGAAAGGCCAAATATTTTTTTGGACATGCAACCTTACTTGGCGTAGGTCATCAGGTGGTGCAATCTGTTAGCTGTTGCATGAAACAAACTGATCATGCTCAGGCTTAGATATTCGTATCTGAAGCTTAGCGACTAGCTCAGAGCTGGTAAGGCTAAAGTTCAACTTAATTTTGTGGTTTCGCATGTAAATATGTAATTCATCTTAGCTATTTCTTACTGGGTAAGGCAAGAAACTGAAAACTGTTATATTCATTATTTTTGCGTTAATGGGTCTAATGTAAATGTTGCCGAAAGTATATTTACTCATTTGGATAACCTATCAAGTTTCGTTAGTCAGTTAGCGATAACATAGGACCAGGCATATATGTGCATCTGTCCAAGTTGCCATACCTTATTAGCACAACAAGATGAACATCAGATTCATAGAAGTAGTTAATTCAGTGGTGGTAATATGTAAAAGAAAGATTGCATATGAAGACATAGTACAGGAAGAAAGAATTAGTTAGTAGAAAGAAAGATATGAAGCGATTTTAATCTCTTAGTTCGAAGGAAGACAGAGAGTGTATACACCTAGGCCATTGTGATCAATTCGTAGTCGTCACCCAGAGTCTTCAACCATTGGTTACGATAGTCATGCGGACCCCAACCAAGTAGTTTGTATCTACCAACATGGCTCAGACGAGAAGTTGGTGGATTCAAGCATTGATGCCACGTTTTGGTGTGTTTCTTAGAGATCTAATGATTGTGAAAAGGATTAAATCGACTGAAATGAGTGGAACATTTCCAAATAATATCAAGGCTATATGTTTTTATAATTTAATAAATTTATATCAATACCTGCCAGTAGTATTACATTAAACATTATGCAAGACGAGTCATTAAATTCATGGATAGATTTGTAGTGTTTCGTTTTTATCACGGGAACACGATTGGTTTATTGAAAACAATTATTATTATAACCAGTTGTACCAAAGACTGTTTTAATGTGCTCTTTGTTTAACTGTGCTAAAAACATCTATTATACTTACTTCGATTGTGACCTCACACGATCTCGGTATTCTTTCGATACCACGAGATCGCCAGCAAATATATCTCGACTTGGTCCATTAACTGCCTTCTGATATTTGGCTTCCGGGGATTTTATGGATATCCTGGCACGCGTTCCTTTGAAGTGGTGTTCATAGTCAATCTCGACTCGACACCACGCTACAGATTTATTAGAAACAGTTTTGAAAAAGTAGTCTTATTTCCTGCTAACAACTCTTTTTACAGACATGAAACTTTTATTCCTAACATCATGGTAGGCGGAGATCTAAAGCAACTGGACTGGGCATCTTCATTGAGTGATTCTAACAGTCATATAAATTCTCTGTTTACAACTTCGAGTAATTCATTTCATATTCAAAAGCGACTGTATTTGTCCAGTGGTGTTTTTTACGATTTTATTTTGG